CAACCATATCAACCTATTGAAGGGCAACTGCAGTCGTTGCAGCAGTTACCAGAACAAATACATAAATACACCTGGGGTACCATCATGTCGAGGCTCCCGAGAAGTTTTATCTTCCTCTCGATGATTCTCTTCAGTATTTACCACCAAGATGCAAGGCATGCCTTCTCACTCGAGCTCATTCGCTAGAGGCGACCACCATATCGCAACAGCGGGAAGCAGCTTGGCGTCCATCCACAAAGCTGAGCCTGCGCATCTTCATAATGTGGACATATATATATGGGAAATCTCTTATCAGTCAGCTATTACCATTCAGAGAGATGTTTCGTCACCATTTCTTGCACCTGTCCCTTCGCCTTCTACCACACACTCCGGGACCTCGTCGCCTCCTCAGCAGTTCCTTCAATCATCCATTGAAGACATCGAGCAGCATCACTCTGTCTCACCAACAACGCCTGTAACTATTGGTTCTGAGCTCTCGCTTTCGCCCCCAATGGAGGTTCTACCAGCTCATAGTAGAGGGACTAGGTATGTCAAATAGAAGCACGGTGCTCAAGTCATGTTCTGACTACGGGTTAGCAGACGGGCTTTATGTATGAAGTGCCGCGCCTACACCAGCGAACGATCGTTCAATATAAAGCGACATCAAAGATCCTGCCACAAGAAGGCTCCAGGTGGCCGAACAAAAGGAAAAGAAAGTCCAAGGTCAAGAGTATCTGGCACGACGCTGTCCTGAAACTGACGTGAGAGCCTGGAAGGTGAATGACAAACCCAATAGGTAAACGAGGAAAGGCGGAGGGCAAAGACAGGCTGCGACATAAGAACTCATCAGCATGGCTGCAAACTTTTATGTTTATTCTTTGGTTCTTATTATTATGAAGTAGCGTAGCGCTGGTGTACCTTGGGATGAACTGACTTTACGCATAGATGGATACTCAATTGATGACAATACGTGGGAATGGCTTCACTTGTCAACATCTACTGCACCTAAATCTTTGAACCAACGTTGAGTATGTAGTTTGGGTAGTATATGTATGTCAAATTACCAGACAAAGAAAATAATTGCAGCGAGTTGCAAAGCAGCTTATGTATCTCCACCTAGCAGGGCATCCCAAGGGTGTCGTTACCATTACATTGAAGCAAGCTGGCTGGGCCCTCAATTGGCAAGCTATTTTCTTCTACATGAGACCATCCTTTTGGTTCACGCAGCTGGTGCTACATCTGTATCTTTCTTCTTAGGTCGAGAGGATTGGACGAGGTCGAGATGGCGTCGCGGTTTGGCAAGGGCCCGTTGACTGGACCATGTATCAGTCGCAGAGATAACATCTTCCGGTTCGTTCAGCCAAATTTGGAGCATGACCGAATCTATGACCTGTGAGTTAAGATATATAGCGAGTATTAAGTAATGCCTTACCTTGAGACTTCTTTCCTTGTTGTTGCTTCATCTGTTGGTCTGGTGTCGACAAGACTGGCTTTGATCAACCACTTACACAAGGACTAAAGCGATATGTTCTGCCCTCAACATCTCGCCCTTTTGCGTCGGTGGTGTCTACATATTTTATACTCTCTCAGCTACGCTTCGCATAGACCCTTGCGATTGCTCCGACCAGCTCCTTGAGTGCTCACTTACTCGGAGCAAGCGGGAGCTCTGCGGCTCCCAGATCCTGATATCGGTATCATGTAGTGTACTTCTGACTCTCAGCTAAAGCCCTGGTCATTCGAGACTGGCAAGCCCTTACCGACAGTTGGATCCGCACCCCTCTACCTGCAAAGACTATCTATTGGCTGTTCTGCAATCTTCTGCACAAAAGCTGGTGGAGATCTTCAAAAGTCGACAGGGGTGTCAAAAGTAGCGATCTTGATCTTGGCCAAGACGCAACAGGCGATATACTTACGCGGGAGAGGGGGGTTTTTGGACATCGGTTAGTGGACAGAAAATAGTGTCGTGGTTATTTTCGGTGGATAATATCAAGTTAGCCTAATGCAGCAGAATATTAGAGGTGACAAAATAACTTGGACACCTTTTTCTCTCTTCAACAGATGTCCAGAAACCCCCCCTCCCCCTATGGTATCCACATTTTTCCATTTTCGACATGGGTAGGCCCTTTGAAAACGCACTGACACATGGCACACAGTCCAGCAACATTAGCGATCAGGTCGAGATTTAGTTACCAAGACTTTTAACCAAGTGAGACCATCGTCACATTTGGCAGATCTCCGCTCGGCGCTGACTTTTTTTTTTATCGTCGACGGAGTCGCGATCTGATACTGGCCCGTGGCTGTAAAGTGAGGAGAGCTGTCAGTTGTCACTTTTTGATCACGTCGACTTTTAATGTTATCAGGAAAGATGCATCGCTGCCATAAATGATAGCATCACGTCCCTGCATGGGGACGTAATTTTGGTCCTCTGCAGGGACATAATGTTGTCCTTCGGGAAGACCAACATTGTGGCCCCACGGAGGGACAACATTATGCCCCCGTGAATGGACGCAAGGTCCGTTGTACCTCTATATCTTACGCTAACAACTTACCTAGTTCCCCTCACAAACATGCTACAGCTGGGCATCCTTAAAAAGATGGGACCGGGGGCCCGCTAGTTGATCCTACTATAGTCTCCACCCATCCACATGTGCCCCGGCACTGGTAAGCTAATACTTGACCAATTGAGGTTCTGCTGAACCTGACAAGGAAACAGTGTCATAAATTCAGCTGATGGGAAGTTCACCATTGGTAATTGCCTCGGAAATGTCGACAAACAGTCATTATTCCTGGCCCTCTTTATAATGAGTCATCAGCCAGCATTGAACGACTTGATCTTACACTCCTTTATTCTGCTACTCAGATACCGTCACCTATTTCTTTCTTTTCTTGCTACCTGAGCAGTTGATGGCCACGATGGCATGGAATTTTGATGTCTCTTCACAGACACTCTCTTTCAGTTGACGGGTTCCCCGCTGTGGCCATCTGCCTCAGTGTAACGAAACAAGTCACCAGTCTTTATAGTTCACTGGCCCCACAAGCCAATCGTGCAAATGCCTCCAGTGTATTTCAGTCAATCTCGAAAGTGTCCAGAATCGTATTCTAGAGCTAGTTACTAGATTAGGTCTGAGTAGCATTGACATCATAAGCCTTATAATGCTTTTCCAGGCTGCTGTTTTGTCGCTTCGAAGTACTTCAACTGGCCGGGCCCCAGCATTTTTAGGGCCGTTATCGCTCCAATGCTCCCTCGGGCGGCTCTCCAGGCGGGGCCTCTGGTGGTACTCTCTTCTATTTATTGCAGGTATTTTTGCATCATCTTGAAAGCAGCTACAATTTGATGATCAGTGATACTTAAGTTTGCATTAGTTAATAAGGAAATGCCATTAGCAGATATGATCATCGACAAGCATAAGCCAGTCTCTTCCGGCATTGTTCCTAGAAATAACGTCCCCGCCTTTAAGCTTCATGGGCCCTGCAACGGCGGCTCACAGCGATGCTCTACACTTCATGGTCATGTACCAAGATGCTCATTTGAACCACCAACTCGAGGAGGCAACCTCTTTGGTAATAATCTAAAATACCAAATACCGCCCCTAGGTAGCTTTCTCATTCTCACTGGCTTCCAGTCTACAGACCAAGAAGCGCACAACGATTGTTACACCTTTATTAGGAAGACAGGGTTCTAAATTTTAGCCCCGTTAGATACGGGTCGGCCCTTGTCACTACGGAGTAACTTCACGCTATTTCTGGACTATTGCGGAGATCTGTTCCAAATTATTCCCAGGCGTTGTCCAACTCTCACTACCTCGACCAGCCAGCCACATAGGGATAACTAAAGGCATTACACACTATTGGTACAGAATCCTCTCGTGAAAGAAAGACGATCGGATACCGTCGTAGTCTCAGCCATAAACTATGCCGACTAAGGAAACAGATCCATAAAAAACATACACAGGTGAACGCTTTTTATGGGTCACTTCCTAATTCAGTTGGTGGGAAAGCTAGGTGGGACTTGGCCTGCTGGGAACTGACGGCAGGTTGTCTGTTGGTAGCCTCAGTGCACATTAGCTGATAACATGCTTTGTTTGTTCAGTCAATCGACTATTGCACCAGAAAGTCTCCAAGGTGCCAGGGTTCTTGCTCAATTGGAGCAGCCCCAAGTCGCTGGTTGCAATCCCAACGGTTCGGCCGACAGGGCGCCTTACCACCAACAAGTCGGGTCGTTGGAGTCCGGATACCCACTATTACATACTTCTCAGTCTGCCAGGTATCTGCCTGCTGTTGTACCGTAGGGCTCTCGTTCGATTATTCTCGTCCAATCACTTACATGAGCTGCAGATGAGTCTTGTGAGGCTGTCCCCCAGAGCACGCGATATCCAATCGTGCGATGCCACCACTGAAAATGTACTGGGATGGCCTTGCCTATCTAGGACTCGTCAGACGCTGACCTGGTCTCATCGCTGTCCATTCAGAAGCTCGAACGTCCATCTCGCTTGCTTACTGGCTCGTCTTTGGATTGAAACGTCTTTGTAGTAATCGCATACAGTCCCGAAGACCAGCAAGAACGTTGGAAGTAGCGCAATCTGTATTATTCATGGTGGTTCCATCTCCAGAGCCCTATGTATGAAGTCATGAACAGCTGGCCCCGGGAATGCATGCAATGTGTGTTCCAATCAAAATCGCGATAGCACTGATCCCGGCTGATTGGGCCCTGATCAGCGTCTGTCATTTTCATTCCCGAAGAACACTCTCTCCAGTCGTTGTTCAGATCTCACGGTCGGTTGATTGATTGGCCCAGAGGGTACGCATCAGTTCATCGCCTGTCCTGGCTGTCTATCCTGGCTGTCCATCACCGTCTGTCAACACTGCAGACCTCAATTAATATATATGTATATAACGATCGTAAGAGGAGCCAAAAGGATAATTTCTCTCCAGATATTGTTCACGGCTATCTGATTCAATTGCGACGCCTAAAACCTTTTATCTCGCTCTACTCAAGACTTTTACTGACGCTCATGGGGACCATGACCCTAGACCTCAACCTCGATGCCCTGTCGGCTGCCGACGGGTTTCTAAGTGGTCTCTTATTTCTTGACGTAACAAGACTGAATGCCACTCAATGGCCAAACACAAATTCATTGGTTCCACGTCCGCAGAGCCTCGAGTCGTGGAAATGCATGGGTGATATTCGGGCCATTCTACATGGCTACTGGTGCCAGATGATGAACGGACTCCCTTCCCTGGGACCTATGAATATCAATGACACCCTCGCTACCTTGACGAGCCCCACAACCTTCTACGAGGCCGCGGTCTTGTCATTTCGAAACACTCTGACTGGTCATCCCCCACATACGCTAGGAGAAATCGTTGCGCTTTGTATTCTGTCGTATGCTACCTCATCCTACCTCAGCAACAAGGGCAGCTTGTCGACAAATGATGCATCCCCCTGCATCGATCAGTGGAGAGATTCGATTAGCGATCGCGATCATCGGCAAGCATTCACTCATATCATGGAGGCACTGTACCCAGGCACAGCCAATCTGAACCCGACCCCGGGTCCCTCACAACACATGGCAGAATACAGTGAGCCCTTTGGTTTCACCTATCAAGATGCACCATTTGGAATGTCATCACACCAAGACAACCTTATCGAGGATGACTTCCTAAACTATCTTGCTAATTACGGTGGTGATCCCGTGCCTGACTATTTCGCCCTGGGTGCTGAATCCACAAATCAGATGGTGCAGAGGCACTGTGCTGAAAGCTATCGGACCCGACCTACCGGGGCTGAACGTCCAAGTCTACGAGACTTACAAGGATCAGCGGTCATCACTCAACTGGTGTACTTTCTAGAAGAATGTGGGGAGCTCCCCCAGATCCTCTCTGGTCGGGGAGCCACTACAAAATACGCCAATTGCCCTGTCAATCACCTAACGCCCAGAGTCGATGAGGGGGTCAAGTCTTGTATACAGCGCATGCGACAAACCGAACTCTCTCTCGACACCACGTTCTCAGCGATAATTTCGGTCGTGGATAGGTTTATCCAGCTTGGGTACCTACGAACCACTGAAGATGTTCAGGAATACATGCTCATCGTCGGCAAGGTAAGGAATTGCAATGAACCCGATCGTATTACTGTCGCTGAGTTGACATATACTGGTGCAGGAAGCTATGCCTGACAGGCCGTTTGTGAAGTACTGCCGATTGGTAGTGAATACACTCGGGGCGACTTCACTCGCTATGCCAAGAAGCGACCCAGTGCAGCCCATTACAGGGTCAGATCTGTAAGTCATTTAATAACCCATTAATGTTATAAGCACTAAAAAAAACATCACAGAAAGAAGTTTCCTTGTTCCATCTGTCATAGAATGTTCTCGAGGAGAAGTAATATGCAAAGACATAAGACAAGGGTACACAGATGACACATGAGGGACGTCAGGGAGGGGGGCACATGCTTATGCCTGTGAGTTTTATAAGGCGTGGCATTAGCATTGTTGTTCTCGGCCGAGTGACGGCGTGTTCGGAGGACCATTTCGGACGTGACGTCCCAAGGCGCATCCTCCAGATGCAAAGTATGGCAAACCATAAGCCAAGTACATTGTCAATAAAGCGTGGTGCCCTAATCGCCTCCAGCTCTTCTGTCAGCGCTATGTTCCTTTGAGATTCCGTTTACGCTGCGCATTTCGGGACCCTGGAGACTCATCATATGGAGCCCACCGTCTTTCTAAGCCTGGATGCCGTTGCTCCTGCTGCACTTACAGTCGAAGGGCTACGGTGGTGCCTATGATCTGGCTTTCACAGATTCTCGGACGGGCCGTGACTCATTATCTGGTCCTGAACCTTCTGCCGGGACTGCTAGTGTACGGAGCACATACTGGAGCATTTGACTCCAATGAGCCAAAAGGCACACCGCAAAACCGCTCAAAACATGCTGTAGGCTCTGGCTCGCTAAAGCTTTCGAGGGCGGCATGATCCCTGCCAAAACCCCCACCCTCCTTCCTGAAGGCCAGAGCTTTACCGCCATGAGGCTTGAGGCATGAGGCTTGAGGCGTGAGGCTCGAGGCTCGAGGAAGATGCATGGTCCACTGTTCCTCCTGGACTTCACGACAGGTCTCCTTATGAATATAGCCATTCTCATTGCCATTGTCTTGGATCGATGTCTACATTGGAGTCCTTTAATCGTCCATCGATATGTCTGTTCCAGCAAAGGCCAATGCCACCATGGTAATTGATGGTTTGCTTGCGAGCCTGATTTATCTCGATGAGACAAACTCCAGTGCTACCCATGTCCTCAGCACCAAACCACAGAGCCTTATGCGCTGGGAAGCTATTCTTGACTTCCGTTTCAAGATCCAACGTTACTGGCAAAGTCTGGTCGATATTACACAAAAAGGAGATCTTCCAGGCCTTCACACTTTGTTGGAGTCCTTCCCAACTTCCGCCCACTTATACGAGACTGCTATATTTACCTTTCGCAACACCTTGACAGGCTCCGAGTCTGATGATCTTGATGGTATCTTTGCGCTTTATAGCTTGTCTTATCTTGCTTTAAGGCATTCCCAGAAAATGGGCAAGCCAGATGCTGACAATATTTTTCGCGACATCAATATCTGGCGGGATTTGATAGGCAATCCTCAGCATCGCCAACTGTTCGACGAGATCATTCAACGGCTCTGGAATGACATGACAGCATCCTCCTTCCAAAAAAAAAACAGGTCTTCCAGTCAGTCTCTCCGTTCAATGGCCAGGATCGTATGGTATCGTAGGGTACAACTATGCACGACATCTCATTGTTCGACGATTTCTCTGACCCCTTCTGGGGCGGTCTCTTTGAGGTACCCTGTTCTCTACAGGGGCCTAATTTCCAGGTGGCAGGCACTGAAGAGGCACCCCCCACTGTACTTGACGCCCTAGAACTCCAATTCCCAACTGGGGATCTACGCCAATCGGCAGTCATGAACATCTTGACAAGCTTCATCGCCAATCGCAGGGATCAATGGACATTCTGAGTGGACATGGAGCGACTGCGAAAGGGCCATATCCCGATGTTCCAATGGCGATTAAGAACTTCACCCAGGCTCTGAGGCGACATGATCCCTTTGAAGATCCATCTGCTCGTGGAATACTCGCCATTGTGGACAGATTTGTGAATCTGAATTATTTCCGGAACATCGACAAAGTCCGAGACTACACAATAATAGTCGGAAAGGTATGATGCTGAACCATGTTCGGAGCATAGAGGAAGACTAATATGGTGCTCAGGAAATACTTCCCAGCGGCCAGGCCTTTGCAAAAGTCTGCAAAGCTGTTTATTCGCCCACAGACATGACAAAGACACCCCAAGTAGCACGACGTCAGCACCCAGTATGTGCGCGAGATCGCAAGCTGTGTGTATCTTATCTCAAGGACGCGATGACCGTAGACAAACTGACAGGCAAACAACTTCAGAAAAAAAGTACCATGCCACCATTGCAAAGAAACGTTCACACAGAAGACCAATATGAGACGACACATTGGCAGGAAACATGCAAACTCCCGTACATGCGATACGCTGACGGCGTCTGTGAGTAAGGTACCGGGTAGCAGATGGGATGGCAAAGAGTGAGGATGATTACCCTGCACATGGGACAATGCATTTAAGGTTTACAATTGGCGTTCGGGCTATAAGAATAAACGAAATAAGATACTTGTACCATATGAGATCTCATTGCTAGAAACAATTATGGTTTAACTTACATTCAAAGGTATTGAATAGCTGCATTTCCTCATATCTAATTAGACTCGGCGCGGGGTTTGGGTACCTTAGTAACGTGAGTTCTCACAGTAGGGACTATGCGCCTTGAACTTCACTTATCATGGTAAGTCAAACCCTACAGGCTCGTGATTCTTAAGAAAAAAGGGTCATTTCTAATAGTGAGTAAGAAGCTATAGATCCCCATGGTAGATAAAATTACCGACAATATAACTATTCGTTATCGTTGTTAGTTGTGGAGGTCTCGGCTCGCACTGCATAGTAGCTTTTGCGTTTTCGATTGCCCGAAAACTTTCAATTTGGTCAGGTGATTTTGAGCTTGTTAAGGCCCATTGGAGCCTCCGACCTCTATGTACAAGTGGACAATTGCTATTGAGCCATTCTGAGGGGGCAGCATATGCCCCTTAGAAACCGAGATGGCACCAGGGACATAAAAGAGTGGGGCTAGCCCCAGTATTGATTGGCTGCTGATCAATACGCCACAGATACCAGCCTTAAGGAGGCACAGCAGTGAGGATACAAGTCACGATCTGCAAGCTGCGTTATTAAATATACCTATATCTTCCCAAGTGTTGATTATCTGTATTATTCCTTAACCTGTATTCTTTATACTATATTGCCTTAAGGCCTAATCTAATCTATTACTAACCTATATAGCTAGCTTTAGTTTACTAATATTTATAGTTTTTCCTTTAATACTAAAACCTTTATTTTCTAATTTACCTTTTTACCTCTTTTATTTCCCTTACTTTCTTTCCTTTATATTATAATTACCCTTAATTCTTATAATATAATATTTATACTATTAATTTAAGTACTATAACTATATATTTTAACTCTATAAATTACTACTAGTATAGCTTATTACTACTACCTAATCTAATACCTATAATAAAAGCCTGCTATTACCTTAATAAGTATTAACCCTATTTTAAATAAC